TCAGCAGCAGCATCCAGCCTCTCTCCACAGCACGCCAGTGCCCATCTCTCCAACGTCCAGCTAGGGAAACTGAGGCAAAGGGGAGTGGAAGGCACTTTGCAGGCTGATTTTCTAAGGTGTCCCTCTTGAGACGCCTTGGATGCGACTGCCAGAGGCGCTGAGCACCCGCAGTTCCCAATGGGAATTCAGGGACACTTGGGTGGGGGCACTGCAGAACCAAGATGTCCTGAGGTGCCCACCAAAAACCAGAGGCTCTCCAAGTCAGGGGCTAGCCAAGACCCAATCATCCGGGGGATTTGCTCGGGACCATGCAGCAAATCAGACCCAGGGCTCCTGATGCCGCGCCTGCCGCCACATTATTCTCAGCTGCGAGGGAAAGGAAATTCGTACGGACCTGACACGTCCGCGGGATGAGGGCGCGAGCTACAGGCGCACGCCACGGCCAGGCGAGCTGGGGCCAGAGAAATGGGAACGGACCAGGGTGAGGAGCTGCAGTTCCCCTGTCTGCCCTCGGAGTGTCTCCCTCACTCTGCCTTCCTCTCTACCAGCTTCCTCTGGGAGCAGTCGCCTGATTTCTCAGACTGGCTGGGGCTTTGGGCTGCATTTCTGTGTTGGTGGCCAGCCAAAGGCAACCAAAAGGTGGCTGATTTTCTGAACCAGCGCCCGTCCAGATGCCAGGAGTCCAAGGCGAACAAAGCCGAGAGATCCCGTGTTTTCTCTCTGCCCTCGCAGGATTCCTGGTAACCAACTTGAGTCCTAGTCAAACAATGCAGAAATACAGCTCTCAGCATTCCTACCCATACTGGCTAATAAGTATTGATGGACCTAACCTCCACAAATTTATCTAGTTCTTTTTTGAACCCTGTTAAAGTCCTGGTCTTCACAACATCCTATGGCAAGGAGTTCCACAGGTTGAATGTGTGCTGTGTGAAGAAAAACTTCCTTCTGTTTGTTTTAAACCTGCCACCTATTAATTTCATTGGGTGACCTCTAGTTCTTATGTTATGGGAACAAGTAAATAACTTTTCCTTATTCACTTTCTCTGTACCTGTCATGATTTTACAGACCTCTCTTATATCTGCGTTAGTTTTACTAAGCACGCTTGCGTACCTCGACTCTGTGGAGTGTACCAGCTGAATTGTAGCAGCGTTTTGATTGGATGCAGAGGGAGCGGAGTGCACAACTCTCACAATGTTGTGTGCAATCAGCACGCACTTTACTTCACTTGTCCCGGCCTTCAGTGCGTGTCACTGTAGTAACACCCATAGTTAAAACACCACACAGATGGAAACCCGTGTAATCTGGCAATCCTGCACATGGGCAACAGCAAACAAAACTCACGGGCTGCCCATCGAACCCCACTGGGCCACATACGTCCCGCAGGCCTCACGTTGCCCACGCCCTGGCCTAAAGGAGACCCTGCTGGGATAAAGCAAAGTTAGCAAGAGTCAGCCCTGTTCCAAAGCAGATGCCTGTTTGCGGCTCCCTGTCCTACACTTGGCTGGCAAGGCCAGGACTGGCACTGCAAAACCAGGCGTTCCTAGGCACAACCATGTCAGCACATGCCAGAAGGGAGGCACCAGAGCAGCCCGCTACAAGGTTATGGTGTAAACATGCTCCCTGAAGGTAACAGGGACGCACTGGCCCCTCCTAAAGAGCCGGGCAGGACAGCAGGGCAGGGGGCGGGGGCGTTCGGGTCGGCCGGACGTGCAAGGTGAAAGGGGTCAGCGAGCAGGTCGGAGGAGCGAGCTGTAAGCTGTTTGCAGCAGCGTATAAAAGGGGCTCGCGGGGGGTGTCTTTGTCCTGCTGATGGGGGGAGCGGAGAGTCCCACTGCCCCGGCAAACACGCATTCAGGGCACTAATACGGGGCTGGGGCAGCCCACCTGGCCGAGCGCCGTCGCCCTGAGCGGAGCCTGGGGGTTCCTGGGGCAGTTGGATCAGAGCCTGCCGTGGGGCTAGGTGGCCGGAGCCGGTGGGGCCTGCAGGGCGATCGCGCCCTCGGCGAACGCAGTCACCGCGGCGTAAACCAACCAGTGGTGCAGGGTCCCTCCAGACGGGCTGTCTCACTGCCTGGCACCCCTTGGGGCTGAGCCGCCGTCGCCCTGAGCGGAGCCTGGGGGTTCCTGGGGCAGTTGGATCAGAGCCTGCCGTGGGGCTAGGTGGCCGGAGCCGGTGGGGCCTGCAGGGCGATCGCGCCCTCGGCGAACGCAGTCACCGCGGCGTAAACCAACCAGTGGTGCAGGGTCCCTCCAGACGGGCTGTCTCACTGCCTGGCACCCCTTGGGGCTGAGCACGGCACAGCAGCATTATCCTGGCCAGCGCCTCCGGCCAACGTCACTCCGCTCTATGCAGGGGGGGCCTATTCCTGCCACTCGGCCTCTGGCCAGGTCATGGGCAGTCCCATACCTGCACTCAAAGCACCCGACCTCGTCCCCTGCCCCGGCTCCCCCGGCTCCCCGCCCCAGCTTGGCCCTCCTGCTCTGGGGCACAGAGCTGGCTCCATCCTCCTCCCCTTGTGCCAGGGTGTTCCCACACCATCAACCCAGGCCTCCCTCTCCTCTGGGGGCCAGGCCTGGGACCTGCTCCCCCTGGCCAGCCTGGGACCTGCTCCCCCTGGCCAGCCTCCGCCCTGCTTTTCTTCCCAGCTCGAATCTCTTCCCCCTGTATGTCCGCCCCGGGGGGCCGTTCCTCCGAGGGACTCCCCTCCGGCCGCTCTGAGCGCTGGGCAGGACCCCCGGGCCCGGCTGCAAACGGCACTGGGGACAAGCCACGAGGAAGTGCAACCGCCCCCCACCCCCGGCTCCCCAGCAAGGGGAGAGCCCAGGGCGGCGGGC